GAAACTCATCCAGTGAGAAACGTTCCGCGGTGCAAAAATAAGTGCGATTAAAATGCGTTAATTTTTTTAACGCGTTAATTTTTGTGTAATTAATTAATCTTAATTAACGCGTTAAAGTCCCGGCCCTAATAAATATATTACATTATTGCAAATACAAAATATTATTATATTGATGATTTACAGGCGCAACCCTACTCCATACAGAGAGAGCTTTTCGCAAGATCTCGTTAATTCAGAAAAACAAGCAGATTTTTTTTGCAGAAAAACGTTTCTCCAATTCCAAGACACATATTGTTAATTAAGAAAAAGAAGGCAAATATTACGTTCTGAAAACAATGCTTCCGTAGCCGTGTACCCCTTTTTTTGCAGACCGAGTTAGACTTTAATGAACACCTTCTAATTACTACAGTGCAGCTGGATTAACTTTTCCATAGATCCCTCATCATTAACTCTCTGCTGAGGTACTGACAAATTGCCAAACACATGCCTGGAGACTCACAGTGAGTGCAGGCATATCATTGTTTTCCATCATAGCAGTGGAACGATCACAACCCACGATCATTTATGTTAATGAGAGAAGAGTGATTAGTCCCATAACGACCCTCTAAGGAGGCACAGCTGTCACAACCAGGAAGTGTCATCTCATATGTGAACATGTGCCAGACTAGTGTGTGTACATCTGTCTGTGTGTGGAGGCTCCAAGCTGTACTGCCTGAGAAGTTGTGGTATTATTCGAGCACTTGTACATAAGCAATAGTATTAAACGCAGCTACAGTACTAAGTTTGAGTTGTAGTTGTAGCAGCTGTAGTAGATGAGCACTAATGAGAGTAGTTCTTAAAGCTACAATTATTCATCTTTTTGTTGATCCAGAGTTAATACATCTGCTTTTTTTTATTATTTGATAGCTTTTACCATTATAGATTTTTATTAAGGTATTTCAAAGGAAAGAGATAGTAAATGTATTTTTGCTTACATTCTTTTTTTTTTTTAAANAATCGCATATAGATATTTGACCTGAGAACAGTGAGAAGCAATTTTTTTCAGCTTAAGCTTATGTATTCAGTCATTATTCAATGGTATACTAAAATCCATGTGAAAAAAATTGCTTCTCACTGTTCTCAGGTCAAATATCTATATGCGATTAAAAATGCGATTAATTGCGATTAATTAATTACAAAGCCTGTAATTAATTAGATTAATTTTTTTAATCGAGTCCCGGCCCTAATATTTATATATATATTACAAGTTAGTTTACAAGTAGAATCAAAGAAGGGAAAGCAGGGAGCCACTAAATAATAATTGCATTCAGACTTTGAATATTACAATGAGAGATATGGTGAGATAAAGAACTTGAGAACTCAAAGGCCTGACCTCAATGCCTTCGATCTCTTGGATGAATCTGTAGCTGACGGACTGCAGCGCTTCTGAGGTCCAAGGGTGGAACCAGTCAATGGTGGTGCATTGGACGAGAGCAGGGAATCGACGGGCCCTTACACGGAGGGCACTGCCCACAGGAGACAAACACAGCACCACCTACAAGGAAACAGTAAGCAAGGAGACAGAGTCAACCACACAGATCTCCACAAGGTGAATGACAAGATATACAGCCAAGTAGGAAAATCAACACAGTTCATAGATATCACAGAAGCATCCAAAAAGGAAACCCATCACTGGCAGCCTTCTGTCCCCCCACTTTGGTTGCCTTGGCATGCGGACAGGCAGCCACATTCCCAGTTGGCTGGAGCAGACGGTGACGCTACCAGAGGCCCTGGCGCAGAGACTGGCTGTGTGTTCTGAGACCGTCAAACATATTTAATAACACTACACAGCAGCTGTGCTTTAATTTTGTAGCTTCAACACGCTAGAGTATGTGCAAGATTTGTATTGATTTCCTGTGGTTAATGTCAGCTGTGAAGGCACATTCAAGTGCTATCAAAATCATCTAGCACAACATTGATCTGATTTGATTTTGGTCATTTAATATGTCTTGCACTTCAGCTAACAGGATCTGAATTATTATCGCTGGGGGAAAAGAAACAGCCTAGCTGAAGCTACAGTCAATAAGGAGTATTCAGAGATGTTTCCCCACAAAAAATATTGTATATATTCAAGCCAATTGAAAAATACCCATTTCTTCAATTACAAAGTGAATCGATAAAGGGGCTTCTGCAGGCTTTATTAGTACAAAGTTGTTT